GGCTTATAAATTCTTTTGATTATGGTATACAAGGTGGTTTTAAATTTAAAATCTTTTGATGAAACCTTAGTTTGTGACCATTCAGATGAAAGCTATTGAGCAGTTCTTTCATGTTTACTTGCACTGTTGATCTGCCTTCATGTAAAAGTTCATGAACAAGAGGCTAAATGTTTTATTGTTTGGTTTCAGAAATGTAACACTCCATGGCTCAAGATTTTGAGATCTCCAGCGGTCTGGGCCATAATCATTGCCAACTTTTGTGACAACTGGGAATATTTCACTTTTGCCGCTTGCTTGCCATCTTATTTTAAAGAAGTTCTCAATTTTTCAATCTCTGAGGTGTGTATTGGATGTTGCGCATAATTAATAACTAACTTTGAAAAAAGTCATCATCTATACCATCCAAATCTCGTGCCTTAATTGTGCATAGATATCATGTCTGCAGGTCCAAAACGTCTATCTCATGGTTAGGCTTGCGTCTAATGTAGCCATGAAAAAAAAACTGAGCTACAGCTTTAATCGACCCACTTTTGAAAACTATGGATTCAAACCAATGCAAAATTCCATGTGCAACGTAGGTAATGCTGCTTCCTTATTCAATTCTCTAATTGTAAAAGGGAAAATTATAGTACAGGGACAACATTATGTTTGGAACATGTTTGGAAATCTTCTGGGGAGTCTTCTTAGAGAATTTTATTTACATCCTGTGCATAAAAACAGTTATTCTCAGTCAATCTAACAAAGACCATTCTGGAGCTAAATTGTCAGCATGGAATTCTGATTTGAATCTCTTGAGCAGTGGATAATGATGATGATGATGATAATAATAATAATAATAATAATAATGATAATAATAATAATGATAATAATAATGATGATAATAATAATAATAATAATGATAATAATAATAATGATAATAATAATGATAATAATAGTAATAATGATAATAATAATAATAATAATGATAATGATAATAATAATAATAATAAATTGAGTGCGTAGAAACACATCCGTTTACTTAGATTAAGAAAATACTGCCT